AAAAACAAAACAATAATTTGAAAAACAAAAAAACCTAGTAAAAAAAAGCCACTAACAATATTATCCGATGGTTGATTATCAAAAAATATTAAACTTTTTTTCATCTCTATTTCTGTTCGACTTGCACGAATTGTTGATATTGATAAAGATAAATATACTGAAAAAAAAATAAAGTGAAGTCTTATTTTGTTTTTTTTTTTACTATTTCCTTTTATATTATTTACCAGGTACAGTATCACATATAACTACTGTAACAGATTTCATATGTAAAGATATTTCAATAGAACGGTTTGAATTTGTTTTTGATTTTTGTAATGAAGATAAAATTATTTGTAGACGTTTTAAAACAGATATTAAAATATGATTTGATTGTAAACGTATTCCAGTTATTTCAATTTGCATATGTGTTGTATTTATGTTTGAAATCTATGAGATAAAGAAATGCATATTAAATATTCAATTTTAGTTTTTGTTTCTTACAGTTATATTAGCATTTGGTAGATAGAAAAGACAATTCCATAAATGTCGTCGACTAAGATCATCAATTAATGATTGAGAAGAATTATTATTATTATCATCTGATGTATATATTACCATATTTTTTAATTCAATTAATCTTCTTAAAAAGAAACGAAGTATTTATGAAAAAAAAAGCAACATATATGTACATTTAGTGGCAGACAAAAATTTAGAATAGCTGCATTTTTTTGAGTTTTTTTTCTCGCTTTTTTTGAAAATGCTTTTACTCTATCAAATAAAACTATTTTCAAAAAGCTTCAAATATATGTCAGAAGACTAGTTTGCGGAAGTCTTGATTTTCCACACATCCTCATTCAACTAATGTTTTCGAAGTTTTTGCATAGAGTAGTCAAAAAGTTCTCTTAGTAGTCTTCTAAAATTTCATCCTAATTGGTTTTATTCCTCATGTTGGCATATTCTAGTAGTAACATCTGTTATCTATTAAAATACCAATACGAAGTTTCACAAGTGTCTATTCTAGTAATTCATTAATGAATTTTTTCAACAGCTCCGTTTTCAGATGGATAAACTTCGTATACGTTCATATATAAAAACTCGTTGGTTATTAGATTTAACTGCTACACAAGTTCATGATGGATTAACTGCTGGCTATAGGCCAGATGTTGTTTCATATAGTACAGTTACTCATTGGGTTTATCGACTTTCAAGTAGACGAGAGCCATTGAAAGATGATCCTCGAAATAGTAGTCGTTATCCGTCAATACTCAACAAAATATTGATGCTGTCGAGGACCTGGAGAATGATGATCCACATCTTAGTGTTGATTATGTTGCTACCTCTCAGACATAGTCTATTACATGTATTAGCGTGATAAAGGATGAAACAGATTAGTCAAAAATTTACACAAAAAAAGATTATCATCAAAAAACATGGCATTAAATTTGCATCTTCACAATGCAAAATCATGTATAAAAAATATTAATCTTAATCTTAAATAAGTTCAAGAAGAAAAATCCAAAGTTATAGTTTATCCATCAGACTTTTGGTTGTCTAATTGTTTGAAACCTAGCCTTGGGACATATTCAAATGCTACAAGTTTTATCCAATGAGCTACATTCGAAAGCTATTCATTAATACGAAAAGACATCTCAGAAGTTGATTGAAGAGATGAAACTTTGTACCGAACATTATGGCGACTACTTCGAACATTTACTGTAAAAAGATAAACAAAATGTTTTTTTCTATGAATAAATATTTGAAAGTCCGAGAACTTTTTGACTGACCTATGTAGATTCTTCATCTTAACTATTACCATTGAAAAGTAAAACTCAAAAATACAATTGCTCTAAACTTTTGTCTATTAATATATATATATTTATATATATATATATATATATATATATATATGAGATTTACTTTGTTTCTGAATTTTGATTAGAATGAAAATTTAATTTGATAAAATTTATTTGCCAAATAAACCATTCTTTAATCTCGTTTATTTTTAAACGCATAGATGGATTTAAAAATTGAACTGATATATCGATTTGTCGATCATATTTTAATGAACTAAAAAAAACAAAACAAAAATAATACTTAACAATTTTTAAATTAATTTACTTTTTAG